GGCGTGAGGTGGGGCGGCCGCGTGTGCAGCGGCGGGAGCGGGGTCCGTCTCGCCGCGCTCCAGTCGGGAAGCCTGTGCGGGAGCCGCGTGTGGGGAGGGGTCGCTGACCGCAGGTGCGTCAGGTGCGCGGGGTCTTCTGTGACGGCCGCGCTGGGGAGGGAAGCTGTGGCTCGAGGAGCTGTGGGCGAAGGCTTGGTGCCTGTGGCCTCAGAGCGTGAGGAACGGATACGCTGTTCAAGACCAGAGGGCGAAAGCCGCTGTCGCTTGTCCCCTGGCTGGCACCTGTCTGAAGTGCAGTTCCCTGCCTCAAGAGTTTTTCGTCCCTCTCAGGCGGAGCTCCTGCTAGAGCCGCACAAACGGAGGAGGATGGGCTTGTTTTACATTCCACTTCATTACTTCTCAGCCAGGAAGTACTCCTGCTTTACGAACACTTAAGGGCCACATATATTGCTCAGAGCCACATGAAGAGATTTGCTTAGAGGCAGCCTTGAAGCTCGTCTTTGATCCTTTTTATTTTTTCTTTTTTGGATTGAAAGCAAGAGATATTTAAATGTGTGACAGAGTTTTTTTTTTTAAGTCTTAGCAAATTTTGCTTAGGTTTTAAACAAAAAAACTATAGTTTTTGCTTGTGCCAAGCTTACGTGAAAGAGAAAATTATCCCGAAGGTGAGAAATAGTAAAAGCAAAACAGGGCGGGAAGCCCCAGGCATATGGGACTTGACGGGGGGACTTTGGCCGCCGTCTAGGCACTTACCGGTGTGTGGTCAGACTACCGAGAAGCGTCCCCCTCCAAACAAGAACGATTTGTACTTGGCGAGCTGTACTTTCCGGTTCCACTTAGAAGCTCTGTTGTGCTCAGCCTAACACGTGGCACATTGGGACCTGACGAACATGTACTCTGGATGGTGAGGGCTTGCCCTCCACTGACACGGTTCTGGGAGGAAAGGCACCTGCTCTTTCCCTGCCTTCATTTTTTATAAAACACTAGGGTAAACATTTCTGAAGACTTTTCTTAATGTAAATGTGTTTTAACATTTCTTAGGGATCCTATGCGGATGCTTTTATTGGTACCACGGAGGGAGCATGTGTCCCGTGAGGGTACCGTATGCAGAGGCACTGTGCAACCAGAATCGTGGCATTAAGTCTTCGTGGTAAAAAGGGGCACGTTCCCAGGGGACCGCCGTGCCTCCGGGATAGGAACGCGCAGAGCGAGGCAGGGATCTGCGTGAAAGTCACTGTGTTTCTTTTCTGACTTCTGTTACGTTAGTTAATTTTGTATATGTAAGACATGAAAATGAAATGCTTCTGGGAACATTTTAACCGATTTTCACTAACCTGGCTTTTGTACACCACCTGAGTAGTTACGGCCTACAAATTCAGCCAAGCAGTGATCAGAAAAAGTGGCCCAAGTGCTGGGTTTCCTTTCACTAGATTGCTTTCCCGGAGCTCAGGGACAGTCACGATGCATCGCAGTAAGTGTGTCCTGAGTTTTCCCATAGAAGGAAACCGCACAGGCGAGATGATTCTGTCTTGTAAGAGTTTCTGGTTTTTCTCTCTTCTAATTGTGCCTTCTGACAGTGTACGTCTGCATAGTGGATCAGAAGTTACTCGGCCTGGGCTGGGGCCCTGGCCCCGCTTCCTGGCGGTGAGGTGGCTTCCGTCCAGGCTTCGAGCATGCGGTGACCATGGCTGTGAGGCCTCCTCAGCGTTGCTCTCGGCTTGAGCGCCACCCGTCTGGTTGTTAAGAGAGAAGCGGGGCCTCATCCAGGTCGGCCAGGGATGCTGCCTTCTCCCAGCTCAGAATGCAAGACGGTGGTGAAGGCTTCCCGCTCGCCCTGGCCGGGGACCTGGAGGCCGTGGCTGCGGGTGGCGGCTCTTGGCGGCAGCTCCCCAGGGGTGGTTTGCCCACAGAGGGGCCTTCGTGCAGGCCGGCACCGCGGCCAAGGCGAGGCGGAGAAAGCCCAGAGCAGAGGAGCCCAGTGCTCCCGGCTGCGCGCGCTGTCGGCGCCGTGGACCTTACTCATCCAGTCTCCTTCGCGGGGGTTTAGAGCACGGTGCTGCTTTCCTTCCCTTTTTCTATTCTTCAAGGAAACCCAGATAGCAGTTTTGGGTTCCTAACCAGAGATAAGCTTTCATTTCTTCTTTCCTTTAAGAAAGTAATTTCGAAAAGCATGTTTCTAGTTTGTGTTTCCATTAAATGTGAGCCTGAATACATTATGGTTAGCCTGTTGTCCCTGGGTCTCGGGAGTCTGGAGGAGGTTCCTGTCCTTACACGGAGACCTCATTAGACAACTCCTGGAACAGCTGTTTTAATTAGGTCACACTCAGACCCTGCTGGAGGGTGGCTGAGGTGACTGGGACTGGGGACCAGAATGGCGGTTGTTTGACATCAGCCTGCTGACCCATCACACCGTTTACACAGAGGGCCAGCAGCCTCTTCCTTGCAGTTGGATGTTGCCAGCTTAGCTCTGTGTTAGGGGAAGAGGTTTGACTGTCAGAAAACAATAGGAAAGTGGGCAGTCCCTTTATGAACATGTCTCCTGGCCTGTGCTGGAGAGAGAGCTGTCTGCTTCCTGTTAACAGAGCCAGGCAAGTCAGGGCTCTCATAAAGTGGGCATGTTTGGGGCAAATGTTAGGATTTCTATTAAAGTTACTCTTCATTCAGTTTGTATTTATGAATAAAACTGAAATCCCTTTTGTACGGCATTCAAAATATAAATGTAAAAAAAATAGTACCTTTACACACACACACACACACAGCAAGGGGGAGAGAAATGTGTAAGTTTAATGACCGTGGCTTCTGAAACTGTTCATTCAGCAAAGGGAAAGTAATGTAACGATCAAATGTGCTGACTCTGTTGGTTCCGTGTCTTTTGACATTTCCAATTTATGTAGTTATGCTAGTTATTTAGTTTATAGTCTGTCTCCATTTTTTTCAAGAATTTTTCATTATAAGATATGTGGGTAGCTGAATAGTGATTACTTGTCAAAAAAAAAAAGTATCCTGTTTAACCCTTTCCTGTTTGCCTTCCAGATATGAGGCCCCCGGATTCCTGGCGGGGTCCTCCTCCACTTTTCCAGCAGCAAAGATTTGACAGGTAATATTGAAGCAAACACGACTTTCAAATGCTTTTTCACACCAGCCTTTGAGCTTTGGGCATTCTCGGTGGTTTGAAGCACACCTTCTTCTCCCTCTGGATAGAGTCTCGTGTGCGCGTCCTTAGGGAAATAGCTGGTTTGCACGTTGGAGTAGGACTCGTGTGCATACGCTTCCCTACTTTTCTTGGTTCTTGGCCTTTATTTTATTGAAGCTTTTGAGGTGCCCTGAAAAATGCAACACAGAGAGCTTAAAATTGTATTAGGTTTTGGTCAGGCTAAACAAATTTCTTTTTAGAAGTTCTGTGCAGCTTAATGAGGCATAACTAATGGTGTTCCACTTCTATCATCTCTGCGCCGGCGACACAGCGTCAGTACAGACCAGCCATTGATTCTCGCTGCAGACCTCTTGAAGTCCTAATCAGCTTCTTTGGTGCAGCTTTTTCAGGGCCGACAGGCCTATTGTGGTGCAGTGTCACTGCAGGGCAGTAGTTATTAGTTGCCACTGAAAACAGTTTCTTTAACTACTTAAGGCTGAACTGAATTAAACGCAGAAGGGTCTCAGGAGAGGATTATGGGATCTGCAGTCTAATAAGGCCGGCGGACTGGAAGGAATGTGACATGGTTTAATAAGGAGGGATGTTTGACATGTGTTCTTCCATTGATAAGTTGTGTACTCCGGAGTCAGGTGGTTTCTGCGCGACCTGACAGCTAGGCGTGCCATGAATAATTATATTAACATCTGAAGAATAATTTTTTAAGGGCAGCTTTAAAGTCCATCGTTTCACGCTGGTTTTGCCAGCATCAGTAAATGCTGAAATGAATTTAAGCCCCGTCATAGTAAGGCTTCTCTCTCAGCCCTCCAGTTCTGTTCTGTTCTGTTCTCTCCTTGCATTTTAGTGGTCTGATCTGTTCACATCTGAAAATGAGTCAAGTGTTGTTCTTTGAACAGGGTTACAGCCTGTTTGCCCTTGAAGAAAATTTTTCTTTAGCGACTCCAAAACTTGATTTCATTATTTTTTCCAAGAAGATAAAAGAAATTGTTATTTGGTTGTTTATTAATAGTACCAGCTATTTGGTGCAAGCTGCATTTTGATTTAAAAACTGATACCGCCTGTATTTACGTTTTGTGTTCGGCATGAATGCTTAAAGTGCACAGTATATACTATTTCAGCATCTTCAGAGTAGCACCATTTTCAAACAAATTAAATCCATAAGGGGTAAATTTTTCCTCAATTACATATTATCACATTCAAACTGATCTCACTTTAAATAACTTTCTGCATTACGTTTGTCGTTTGATTTTAAAATTTGGTTTCCCCACTTTGTTGCTTGCTTTTTCCCCCATATTATTTTTAATCACTGATACTTACCATCTGCTTCTGAAGTGCCAGCCCTGGGCTAACATGCTTTTAGAAACGCGAGTTCCCTGACTTCCCTCGCAGCCCTGTGAAGTCGATGTTGGTGTTTCTACAGATGGGGAGACTGAGGCCCACAAAAGTGCGGCAGTTAATCTGAGGTCTTTCTTCCATAGCATTCTTTACCAAGGAACTGTTCCCTGGAACAAAACTCCTTGGGACAACTGACTCCAGAGTCATATTATGTAAAACCTCCGGACTTGTCAGGAGGCGGAGGAGCCCCTCCCCGCCCCCCGGCCCCAGGCACCTTCCTCAGTCCCAGAGCTCGCCTTCCTTCTACACAGAGCAGATTTCCTTACGGTCACCACTGTGTGTCCTGACACCCTTTGTCTTTGTCCTGACCCACGTACTGTCTTCCTGACCAACTCTGAGCCCAACAGATTAGGGACAAGTTTGGGGGACATTTTTGATTTAATTTTACTCGGAAACTGAAATCACACCATAATGCAAAAGTTAAATGTGAGCAAAACAGAATCTTACGTCTTACATTGTGGTCATTTAAGAAATACACCGTTTATTCGTAAAGAAAACAGCACTTGAGCGCAGCCTCCACCTCCTGCACCGCCGGCCGCTCAGCGCGCGCAGGAAGCCCCTCGCGAAGCCCCGCCGCGCGGGCAGCGCCCTCACCGCTGGCCTCACGAGGCGCAG